ATATATATATATATAAGTATATATCTATGACGGAGAAAGGCCCGCAAATATACAAACTAAAGATCCGACGACCTGACGTTCTATTTTCACTTCAAATCGATCCTCTTTTCAAATCACCCCGACCCCGAAGCTTTCGCTCCTCTCTCTCTCTCCCTAATCTTTCTCAACAGAGAGAAGAAGGCGAAGAGGCTTCTGGAGGGGAAGAGATAGTTGCGAGGGAAACGTAGACCCGATGGGCCATCCTTCGTTGCCGGCGCGCGCGCCCCGCCGATGGCTGGAGGCTGCCAGGTTCGGTGTGCGCGTTGCCACGAGGTCCTTACGGTGGCGCCCGGAATAACAGAGTTCAGCTGCCCCATGTGCCAGTTACCGCAGATGCTGCCGCCCGAGCTCATGTTGGCCGGAGGAGCCACACGCCGTCAAAATCCGCCAGCGCAGGGCATCGATCCGACCAAGATCCAGCTCCCCTGTGCCCGATGCAAGGCCATACTCAATGTCCCCCATGGCCTCACTCGCTTCAATTGCCCACAGTGCGGCGTCGACCTCGCTGTCGACCTCAACAAGCTCCAGCAGTATTTCTCCTCCGTCGGCTCCTCATCGACCCCCGGACTTCTCCAGGACTTGCCGGAAGAGACCAACGAGGCAATTCAAAATAAAAAAAAAAAAAAAAAAAAAAAAAAAAACTCTTTCTGTCTTTCCTGATTAGTTTTGATTATTGCTTGTTTTTGTTGAGTTCGTATGTTGCAACCCTAGTTGTCTTAATTAGGTCATCTGGTTGTTCGAGTTCTGTCTCTAGCGGGAAGGTAGGAATGCCCATTTCGCAGGCTCTAACCCTTTGAACATATTGCTAATAATAATAATCGGGCATTGTATTTCTACTGAGCTCAATTCAGAATTGGTTAACCCTTAGAATAAAAGTAGGAGGTTTATGCCTTTCTGTGTTATTGCCACACCATCTTGGTGTAGCTTACTAATATAGCTTCATAGTTCTAAACGAGAATGGCAGTACTATGGTGTACACGCTACATTTCAGCACTTTAAAGATACTTTACCACGTCCTCTTCTACAAACTGACTTGTTCTGATATCCTACATCCATTATAAAGAAATGAAAAGGCGTCACTATAGAGGAGGAAGACGTAGAAAGGACAAAAACACTCAGCGAGTGTTTGGCGGCAAGTAGGATTTACTGTTGATAGGATTTGGTAAATTTGTAAATCGTAAATCCATTATATCCACCCTGCCCTGTATTTAGTACATATAAGCCGAATTAAAGACAAAACTTGGGACTCTAAATCACCCCTACCAATCAATGCCTGAGAGAGTGATTTTCTTGAGACACCAATCACCATATAGTGAGTTGAATACCTTTTCGTGATTGTAGAGATGGATGCTAATATTTGATGATGCTAAATATGAGGTTATATTTGATGATGCTAAATATGAGGTTTAAATATGTTTTTGATATTGAGGATGGAGGGTTTAAATAGGCTAATTTCATTTATTTTAAATGATCTATTTGATAAGAATTTTGATCTTGGAATTTAATTGAACTTAAAAAACTATTTTTATTAATTCTAAATATGGACTTATATGATGCTTGGAGGTTTGATTAATAAATGATATGTGGAGAGGTTGATCTACATTGTATTGCACCTATATTTGTAACTAATTCATTTTTATTGGTGGTGTAAAAGTGGATAAACAGGTAAGATTTGAGTTCAACTTGAAATTTGCATTCTTCAAGTATGCATGACTTGAGCATATTAGTTTATTATTTGCGCTGAGATTCTAGACTTGAGCTAGACTTTTGCTAATTTGTTGACCTAAACTAGCTAATTTGACTCGAAGCTAGGGTGAGTCATGTTAGTTTTTGGGTCAACCATACTCAATCACAACGTATTTCTAAGTGTTATCATTGAGATGAAAATTGGGGTATTCATTTACGAATTAATCTTGCTATGTTGGTGTTATTTGATCTTAAATGTTCAAGGTAAATATATAATGGGCATCTACTTTCCCCACCATGTATCATTATGAAGTCTGTGTAGAAAGAAAAAAGTGTTTGTTGGCTTTGGTAAGCTTCTAAATGTTTAATGACAAATAATGTATGGTATTAAAAAGATTAGAGCTCAATAAGTTTCACAATAATTACAAATTAGAAGAGCCAAGCTAAAAACTTTTGAACAAAAAAAATGAGAAACTTATAAAAGGAGGAATGTTACAAGCCTAAATCACAATTGTGAAGCACTTGGAGTGTAGGAGAAATGCAATTGAAGAACAGAGTGGGTTATTGATCGTTTCATTGTTTGTTGCATCCTTTGTTTATATTTTACTTCATTGTCTATTCAACTTCTTAGACTACTTAACTTTTATACAATATGCATCATCAAATGGGTATCCCTCCACGATGAGCCATTAGTGTCTTAGTTTTGATCCTGGTCGATTAGTTGATGTTATAAGATTTATTATTTTTCTTGTTGCGAGCTTCTATTTTTCTTGTTTGTGGATGAGCAAGAGTCTAGTTGGGGCACAAAATTTTCATAGGAGATTGTTGAGTAGGATACTCTTTTCTAATTTTTTAATTTTTATTTATTTATTTTTGTGTTGTATGATTTCAATATCCTTTAAGTTACCTTTAGAATGTGTTTTTTGGATTTGTAGAGATTTAATTAAGATTGCGTGTTTAAAGAGCACAACACTGTTGCCTTTCTCTAGAGGTTAATTTTAGAGAGATTAGAGTTTGAGGAATCAATTTTTTGAGTAGATTTGATATTGCGGGCTTGTGCTATATATGTATATTATGCATGATATTTTTCTTGCCAAGCGGTAATCATCAATGTTGACGTCTTGGGAGCACAATCATGTGCCCTTGCAGTGCATGGAGTTTGATGATTGGGTTTTTGTTTTTCTTTTTTTAAGAGGTTTAATCACGTGTGTATTTTTTTTTTATTAAGCCTTAATTATCAACTAGAAGGTGGTTATTAGGCCTGTGAATTTAAAACTAAGCATTGATTGTTAGTTGTGTTATGTATGTAGCATGATTGGCAAGGAGAAGCCCCTAGGGGTGCCCTTGCTCTTGGCAGTGGACAATCCGATGTAGAGCAAGCGCCCGAATAAATGTTCTCAAGCGGAAACCCATCAACCTGAAGGTTCATTTCCAACATTCTGGATTAGAGCGCTCAGAAACTCGGCTCTCTAATAAATTTATATAGTTCAAGAATTCAAGTTTCGTGTTTCGTCTCCGAGGGATGTGCGTGGAAATTGTGCGAAGCGGTGCTACATGTTTGTGTTGGATTTCTAACAATTCTTTTGTGCGTAAGAGAAATGACATCGTTCTTGAGTTCTAGAAGATCAGAATGGCTCGAGTGTTGTGTAATCCTTACAATTTTCTTCCTTTCACAGTGAATTTCTTGGTGTGGTGTGGTACTTTAATTTTTTTCTTCTTTTTGAGTTTTTCCACGTTAAATATCCGTGGTTTTTGCATTTTCTATGTTTTATTATTTTGTGTGCTTATGTTCTAAGTTTTGTTTAGGATTTCTCAAGTTATCTTTCTACGATTTTCCGAAAAATATCCCAACAAGCTAGGTAGTCTGGGACAAGTGGGGCGGGGGGTGGGGTAGACATTTCTTCTCTTAGTTTTCATGAAGATTGTCTAAGTGGTCTTAGAATTGATTCACATTTAAGGAGGTTACCAAATCATTTTGATGTAATTTAGAGTGATGAATTAAATAAGATTTCGTTTTGTAGTAAAAATTGTTCCAAGAAGCACATAAAGCAAAAAAAGTTATGAATGCTAAGGGGGATTTAAACTTGGTTATAGGAGTTTAGAGTTGAAGCATTGACTACAAGTATGCTATGAGTTTTTGTCAGGATTAATGCTTGATTCAAGCAATATAGGTGCAAGAGATGTGATTTATTTTGGTGCAACTTGTGCTTGATCGTACAGTAGAGTTGTTTTATATAGAATTGAAGCAACATTAATTCCTGGTAGGGCTGTCAAAAAGGCTCGTTGTTCGCGAACAACTCGTGAACACAAACAATTTTTTAAAACTCCAATTATAAACGAGCCGAACACGAACAACTCTTTGTTCTCTCGTGTTCGGCTCGTTTTAGCTAAAAAAAAATTATATAACTATTTATATAACAATATGTTATATATATTATTTATATAATAATATATTTTATATATTTATGTATAAGTTTAAATCATAACACCTTATGTGGTAATGTGGTTAGTGTCTTCTTTTGTATATATTTGATCCATATTCGAATCCCACATTTTACAACTATTTTTCTCAATATAAGTTTAACGAGCCAATTTTGAGCCGAACATGAACACGAATTTTTAAATCGAGCCGAACACGAACACACTGTTCACAAGCCAATTTCGAACACGAGTCGATTTCAAACACGAGCTATTTCAAATGAGCCGAACACGAGCCAAGCCTGAGCTCGCACAAGCTTGGCTCGTTTACAACCCTAATTCCTGGTATCTATGCATAGAGTAATTTTAAGTAATATTTAAAAATGAGTAATCAAGAATTGTGTCATTTTGCCTTGGAGAGGCAAAGCGAGGCATAATCGTTAAAATAAAAAATGTATAAAACAAAAAAGAAATTGTAAGTATGTTATAGACCATCAATAAAATAACTTAGTTTATCATCAAGTAAAAATTTAAATAAGAAAATATTTAATAAACTTAAAAATCAGATTAAAAAATTAAATAAAGTTTGTTATAGAAAAAAAAAATTAGCTATAAGAAAGTATGTAAATATATAAAATAAATTAATTTATTTTTATGGAAAAGACCTCACGTGCTTTGCTTGGGATCTCCCGTAGCTGTTCAATTGCTTGCAAATTCTTCCCTTGCTTGTAGCGCACCTTGATCGCAATTCTCCCTATCACGACCCTGTTTGAGGCTTGGAGTTAACTAAGATGAGAACGGACGGTCAAACGGTGGAAATCAAATATGTGCTATTTTAATTCTGTTACTAACTATATAATATTCAAATAATACATGAAAGAGCCAACTAAATAAAATAATAAAAATTTATAAGTAAAAATTTGTTCTCGTCTCGTGTGTACACATTTTCTCCTCTTCTATTCATATTGTTTATATGTTTAAAACCTAAAAATAATATTAAAACAACATAATAAATTATATAAAGATAATCGAAGAGTAACCACACCACTAAACAACAATAATCCAAGGAAAAGAGTACAATATGTTTGCGTGTCTATAATAAATCATATACTGTACTGGTTTTTCATATTTATTTATAAGCAATCAGATATATGCTTATAAACGATCTGAAATATGTTTGTAAACAATTTGATATTTGTTTATATGCAATATGATATTTGCTAATGACATTTTCTAAATGAACAGACACTAATATCATATATACATTTATCTTAACCTTATTTTTATTTTATACTTTACATGATTACCGTCAACAAACTTAGCACACCCTTGGCTGATATTTCCTCATCGACTCCCGTTGGTATAGCGGTTAGCGATCTGCACATCGCAATTGTCTGGGAGGAAAAATTTTACCTGCCACTGACCGATATTATCCCGTCAGCACAACAGTTAACATTTTAAACATTATAATTGTCTGGGAAGGTAAGCTCTGGTCT